TACGTGTTTCACATGTAATATTGGTGTATTTGGCCCGTGGCCCACTGGCAAATTTTTACTTTGGCCCTTGGCAGCAAAATGTTTGGGCACCCCTGGTGTATAGAGTAGACCTACAGTCTATGGGGTAGATATAATATATCCATGGGTAGACCAGACCGTGAAACCAGAGGTGAATACCTCCCGCCTTTGTTACCTAGCAAAACGAGACTCAATGCAGAGTGGACAGAAAACACAGAGGCAGTGCTGGTCTGATGCCTTTTACGGTTCATATTTTTGAGATGTAAGCAGTGAGAATGATCCATGTCAATGGTCATAGCGATTAAGGAACTCTAATCAAACTGTTTATTCTTTGGGGGAAGATCAGCAGCACGTCAGAAAGCACTCTGTGTGATCCTGGCGTTAATATTGTGATCTTGTCTTTGTAAATCTAGATTTTTAAGGATGGACCAGTCAGATGCCTTCAACCGCAGGGGAAACTCCAGCTTGCCTTAGCAACCATCTTAGCAACACATCTGTCCCATTCAATTCAATGTATGCCTGTGTGGCAGCCTAGGGGTAGTGGGATATAATGGAGAAAATAAGTGGAATTATAACAGGTTAAAATCTGTAAGTAATGAAATAGACCAAGCAACGCCACGACCGGAGTTTCACCGGAAGAGTACTGTATAAAATAAAGACACACAGGTAAGTATTAAAAGATTAAAATGCACCAGGTTCCAAGTTTAACAGGATCAACAAGTTTATTTTACAGTGTAATCAATGACATTTCTGTATGTAATGGAATAGATAAAACTCAAATGCTACATTCATACTCTCTCGTTCACACCCAAACTCACATCCACTGCCTATTGCACATTCCCACAAGTAGCGTGCGCCCCAGAGCCGGGATGCAGCACTTGCTAAAGTGCGTGAGTGCAATCGAGGCAACGATGCAAAGCTGCGAAGCCAAGCAGCAGGTTAGAAAGAGCGGAGGCAAAGCAGCTGGAGCCAAGCTGAAGCGAAGCAGCTGAAGCTGAGCAAAGAAGCAAAGCAGCAGGGGGGCGTGTGCCAGTGCCGCTGGAACGCACCTAAAAAAAGATTAATTTAGAAAGTTACTGAAACCAACCCTAACTAAATAACAAAAAGGAGGAGAAAAGTACATCTTAATACATAAATCCTACCAATTCGAAGTCACAAACACGCGCGGTCCACAGCTTTAGGCCAGAGGAGGAGGCTGCGCTCAGAGCAGCCACTATGAATGGGCGGAACGACCCGCGCCACTAGTGGTGCGTAATGCTGACCACAACCAGCTAAATATAAAGTTAGAATTTGAACTGGGCATGAATGAAGTTTCTATTAAAATAATTACCTTTTTTATACACGCCACAGCGCATGGGACTGCGCAGCTCCTAGGCTTGGGTCAAGCAGCGTGACTGCAGAGGGTAGATCACATTACAAACTGTGCCCGGGCGACTTTATGAATGACATTAAAGCCTGCATGGTTGTACCTGTCGCTGCAGTCGAAAGCACGCTACGGGAGCCTATGGTGCATGAGGGTGTAGACCCAGAGGAGTGCAGACACTGAGCTGGGAAAAGATCATTGGCTTTGTAAATGTGCGTTTTAATACTGTGATGGAAGCAGTAGTTTACCTGACGCGCAGAGGTTTTAGATGCTTTGGGGAACCAGACAGCGGCACTGGATGCGTGGAGCTGTGTCAAACACACAGCTGCAGAGGCGTGAGGGCAAAGAGGGGCAAATGAGAGGAGGAGCGCTTATAAAGCCAACCGGGGCGGCCCGTGGGGATGCAGGCGCATCCTCAACACTGGCCTCAGAGCCGTTTTACCACACCTGTATAGCCCTAAATCACTCATCTCAGAGGACTTAACAAAACGTTGAAATCGCCAACACAGATCAGAGAATCTTGTGTATAAGCACAAATATTATAAAACAGATTCGTTCATAGGGGGAGTTGACCAATGTCCATGAATGTTGGACATGTTGATAAATGTCCATAAATGTTGTAGAATGTTAGATTATCCTGTATCATCACCACAGTCCTTTTTGTTAGACCCACCAACAGTCTAACAGACTCCTACATCTGCAGGAAAAACTTTGAAACCCAGTGGATAAGTGAGAAACCTTGGGGAGGTTCACATATAAACCGTAGAAAAAATGCCCATACAAGGAAAGTGGCTCCAGCTCGCTTATGTTCAAATCGGCCTATGGGCTCTATGCACGCACCACTTCCGCGTTTTAGCTAAAGCCCCACCTCACTTCCTGTTCGCGGGAAACAGCTTGAGTTTCACTGGAGTTCAGCAGTGGTTTACACGAGTTTCCCAAATAATGCTCAAACGGGAATTAAACTGTGAGGATACTGGGCATTTTTGGGACACAACAGTGCTCTTTGATTGTGCTGTCATTGTGTTTTAATAAAGTTTAAAAATCGCTCTGAGTGGCCACAGTCAAAGCTCTACCTCAGAGAGAAAGCACAGCGACACTTTTGGGTCAGTCTCACAGCTGAATGTATCAATCTAATTACTAAAAAACGTCACTAAAACTCACCTAAAAGCCATAGGATTGCATAGGCAGGAAGTTAATGGGCTGATCTGCATTAACAAGAAATGACATCACGCCTCCCCGTGCATATAGCTCATTCCACATTAAAGGTACACTGTGTAATTTTTAGTGCTATCTAGCGTTGAGATCTTATATTGCAGTCCAAGGTACTATGGAAGCCTTTGATAGAAGATATGTGTCTTTGACAGTGCTCCTCAACTCTCACCAGACTGCCAAGGAAAGAATCCTTTAGTTTGATAAATGATCGGATCTCTCCAAACGTCTCGGGCACTTGACACAGTCGTGTGGAGGTGACATGTAAACAAGACTGTGGCACCCGCTACACAGAGGTTGCACTGAGTTTTACCAAGGATCTATTATAATATATAGTTTTACAAACACGGTGTGAAGAGAATCAATGCATGAAGGATTAACGTCTGCGGGAGCTTAAAGTGGTTCTCACCCCCGCTCCTCGGAGCTTACGTCACTCACATTTCCTGTTCAAATCTTCCTCTAAATGGGCGTAGCCTGGAGGACTGAAGGGGGCGTGAACGAGACTGGGCCGTTTATATTGCTCTGGGCGGGGGACTGCTGACGTCAGGTCCAACTTCTGTGCCAGTGTTGGCGCCAGATTCAAAATTCAAATGTAGTAATACAGGTCGCCAGCAGATGGCGCCTCACAGACGGTTTTAGGCAGAAAGTTTAACTTTCAACTAATTTGCACCAAAGTGAAAAAACTATGACCAGGATATGTAGACAACACTATTGGACACTCATTTAAATCGTTTATCAGCAAAAAAAAGTGGATTTGAGGGTGAGTTGTCCTTTAAATCTACAACGATCAGAGAAGCAGGACATATACACAGCAGGACATGGTCAAAAGCTCATGTTAGCTTTAGCGTTAGCCACAGCGCCCTATCTGCCTCACGGTAAGAAAACAGACCATCCATTTATGCTGCTGATAAAGTATTCTGCTGATTGTTTTGTAAGGATTCTGTGTGTTTTATTTAAGGCTTGTCCTTGAATAAGTTTAGTTGAAACTTGTGACATACAATAGTTGGGCTGTGCTGGGATCGGGTCAGAACATCCGGGACTGTGTTGCAGATTCTGCCTCGTTCTCATTATTGTCAGTATGAAAAAAGTTACATATTGTTCACGTGTGAGTCTGTTGTGTACAAACTACCCAAGATGCCTCCTGTTGTGTTAACGCTGTATTTCGGTGCATGTGGTTTACGATGTTGACAATTTGCTGCTATGACGCCTGACTTTTTGAAAAGATTGTTGTTCGAATCATATACATGGTCTCCAGGGTTATTCAGGGTCTTCCATGGTTCCTTCTTCAAACTTGTGAAGGCACGGTGAAAGCAACGATGCCAGTAGCTCATGTGAAACTAAAACGCGATACTCGCATTCTTTTTGTCCCTTATCCACCACTGTATTTCAAGATGGCGCATTGACACTGAAAGCTCCCCTCTCTCATGGACACTTATAAGTGAAATTCTAAGCCTTTGAAAACTATAAAAAAGCATGGTGGATGTAAACATAATATATAGTTAACATGATTTTTTCATATGAAGCAACTGTAAAAATTACACAGGGTGGCCTTAAAGCTTGGTGTATACTCGCGCGGCGCTGGTTACGTTTGCGGTTGCACTGGACTTACGCAGCCACAGTTTCTGGTACACTCTTGCGTTCCCCTGCGGAGTTTTGAAGAGAATGTTGTAATCCCACGCCAAACCACGTGATGCCGATCTCACAGGAGTTGCCTGAGAAACCAAAGCGGTCCCATTTAACTGCAACTTTCTCCTCTTCAGAACAAAAACAATAGCAAACCAAGCTGTTTGAGCTCATTACATGTGTTTCTACTGTAGGTTTATGTGATAGTTCTATGGACTTGTTTCATATCGCATTTCAATTGTGATGCTGTGAATAAAGACACAGTTCTTCTTGGAAACCTAGTTATTATTAAATTTTATTCAGCACAAGCAGCAAAACAATAGGTGGTAAATATCTGAGATCAAACATGAACGATTTACAAGTACAGGAGGAATCCAAAAGTGGTCTCTTTCTCTCCTATCTCTCTCAGGTCTCTCCCTCTATCTCCCTGGTCTCTCCTGCTCTCTCCGCACTAGCTCTCTTTCTGGTTTCTCTTTCTGGTCTCTCTCTTTGGTATCTCTTTTAGGTCTCTCTCTGGTCCCTCTCTGATCTCGTCCTCTCATGGTCCCTCTCACTCTGGTCCCTCTCTCTCGCTTCAGTTTCTCTCTCTTGCTTCAGTCTCTCTCTCTGGTCCATCTCTCTCTGGTCCTTCTCTCTCTCTCTGGTCCTTCTCTCTCTCTCTTGCTTGCTTTCTCTCTCTCAGGTCTCTCTCTCTGGTCCCTCTCTCTCTTGTTTTCCTTCCTGACCTCTGGACTCACCCCTCTCTCTCCTCCTCTCTTCAGGTCAGCAGAACGGTGCGACTCGGCCCATGATCGTGGACGACGACGACGGCTGTTACATCCAGAAGAAACCACCCTCTGGGGTGGAGCTGCCCACTCTGTCTTCTTCCGCCGCACCCAAACCTGAGCGCGCCCGCAGCAACACGTCCCAGGCCAAGCTACAGGCCAAGCGTCGCGTGGTGCGCATGCTCATGGTCATTGTGGCGCTCTTCTTCGTTTGCTGGATGCCGCTGTACGTCGTCAACACGTGGAAGGCCTTCGACGCGCGAAGCATTGTGAGGGCGTTGTCTGGGGCTCCCATCTCCTTTATCCACCTGCTATCCTACACCTCGGCTTGCGTCAACCCCGTCATCTACTGCTTCATGAACACGCGCTTCCGGAAGGCGCTGCTCTCCACCTTCTCCTGCGCCTGCTGCCAGAGTGCCTGCAGCAGAAGGAAGGAGCGTAACCCCGATGACCGCTTCACCGCTATGTCCACCGCCACCTCCATGGCCACATCCATGTCCAAGATCAGCTACACCACAGTTAGCTCCGTGGCTACGTGCTAAAGTGGTGCGCAAATACAGCATGTAAAGCCGCGTGCTAAATCTGGGGTTCATAACTTTCATATATAAATGTGTAACTATACAATCCATGTCATGTTTGCCTCTATACTAGTTTTCTTATGCCCTATGAGTCACTATTTGACACTTTGGGCTGATTGAGGGTGGTCCCCCCAAGTGGTTTTCACTTTTCTGTCTGAAAAATCTGATCTAAAGATGTGACAGAGGCCAGAAACACAGAGATGAGAAAGCCAGTGAGAGAACAAAACTGTGACTTGAAAGTTACGTACCCCAGCTTTAACTTTGCAGTTAGCAGAAAACATTAACAAGACATTAGCTAACCTTTTCCATTCAAGCCACTGCAACCTTTTAATCTCATCCAACACCTGCATAAGCTTATTTTTTGTTTTATTTCAGCATAATTCAGTGTAAAATTGTCAAACACAAAGCAAAATTACGTTTTAAAATCACCACAGCTTTGAACCTGGAAATGAGAAATCGCGTCACACTCATCCACAACAGCTGTATCCTCAAGAGTTGAATCACATTATAAAAAGTCTTATTTCTACATTGAATGTTACCGTCTCCATGGAGATGTACTGTAATTTCTCTGCTTTGCTTCCATAGTTTTTTATTATAACAGGGTGTCCTATAAGACTATTCAAGGCATATTAGAGCTGAAGAATCCCATTCCCAGCTTAGAGAATAGGACTTGGCCCTACTCTACTCTTCTTGACTCTACCATAATCAAAGTAGTACACAAATAAGGTTGCCAACCGTCCCTTAAAATACGGAATTGTTCCGTAATACAGAAAAACTATGTGCGTCTTAAATGCATTACTCACTCACTGCATGTCGCACGCGAGACACACACACGCACAGTAATCACAGTTTAACCGTCTACCTTTTGGCCAATCAGTGTCAAAGGGGAGTGTAGGCTTGATCACATCCATGCTGTGGCTGGGCCGCGGCCGCAGCATCATCATGGCAGAAGTGTGGTAAAGTTAGCGTCATATTCCCAGATTAGGACTTTATAGCTCATAAAATCTATGTGTTAAACAAAAGTATTTGTGCTAAAGTGATCACCTCTTCATTGATTTGTCAAATTCAATGTGTTATTTTAATGCAGAGAAAAGCACTTAGGGAGTGTCAACAAATGTCAAGACCAGCTTTGTAAACGAATAATAGCTTTTACGTGAAGCCATGTACACGCACAAAACTCTCAGACACTATAAATCATGACACAATGATATCTAACTGCTACAGACTTTGATTTCAACATTTGTGAGTTTTTGTTTCATTGCTTTTACAGTAAATGGTCTTTAATGTAACATACATTATTTATGTATTTTACATTACATTGTGTCATAATAACATACATACATGTAACATACATAAATAATGTATGTTACAGCAATTGTCACTTATTTATATTTTATATGACTAATAAGCATGCATTAAGTCCTTAACCAGCACCAGAGCTGCACCTGTTTATTTCATTTCATTTTTGACTAAGGATTTGGTTTTTGTAATATGTAGTCAATAAATTACATTCTAAAAACTGTGATCATTAAATTCCATGATTCCTGTGTAGATTGAAAATAGGACTAAAAAGTGGTCAACCCGATCCACCCAAATGGTGTCCCTTATTTTTCTGTTCTCCAGTTGGCAACCCTACAGTATATACAAATATGTGATACAACACATTTGTGCCAGAAAATGACTAGTTTCCCTCAAAGTTATGGACCAAAATCATACTGGCTCATAGTCCCCTAGCATATTAGCGTTAGTCTTCACTACGTACATCAAACTTTTCTCTTCCGGTTTTAAAACTTAGCTTGAGTTAGCGACATTAGCATTTATCTTTTGTATTCAAAACTAATATTTGAGCTATTTAAAAAAAGAAATACGAGTGTGTGTTACAACATGTTTGTACAGGGAAATAAAATCATTTCCTTCCTAGTTCTTACTAGCAATTAGCAAGAGTTAGCTTCTGGTTTCAAAACTTCCTATAAATGAGATTTTGTTTTGTATGCAGTCTTTCTCAAACTCATGGAACAAAATTGTAAACAGGCTATTTGTTGCATTATATCATCACCATGGAGACAAGCTGCACCTGTAACATCACACAACTGACCTTTAAATTGCCTTTGTGATGCTATAGCAAAACAAAAAAGTGGTCGAAATAACTGATTATAAATATTATGATTTATTTATCTTTTTACAATAGTGTAAAAAACTTTGGTGGCGGTAAACACACACGGTTGCCATATCCGTCCTGAGGCAGACTAGCGTCATGGCTGCCAATGGGTACAAATATGGACAAACAACAGGCTTGTTATTTTTTACATGGAATGCCTTGCTATCTGTGCTTGGAACTGGCACTAAGACTGAATATTATTATCATTATTGTTATTACAGACCCATGTACTTATGTAGCCTCCAAATGAAAAGCTAACATTTGAAACTCGAATGAAGCTATCAATGTTATCAATTAAATGTTTTTGTTTGTATGGCACAGGGTACTAATGTTTTTATGTTATTGTAAAAATCCTATTTGCCCCGTTTCCACAAGCCCTACACTACACTACTCTACTCTACTCTAGGCCGAGTCGGTACGTACGTTTGCTAACTGTCAGTGATTGGCCAGATTTCTGCTGGAAGCCATTTTTACCAAAGAATTTCCATGTATACTGGTTTGTTGTGGTTATGTTTTTAGGATACAGAAACAGAGGTGAAATAGTTATGGAAACACAACCAGGTAGAGTAGAGTTGAGTAGGGCCAAGTGGTGGAAACGGGCTTTTGTCTTTCATACACAAACAACACAAACGTGTATAGTGTTTCTTCACAACTTCAGGACTTTTGAGCATCGGTTGCTATGAAAACAGTCCTGTTTCCTTATATTTATTTTTTATTAAATTAGTAATATTCTAAATTATTATTTCTAACATGCGCTATTGCCTCAAAAACTGTGTACAATCCATGTTATAATCATCAAAGCCTCAGTAATGTCATATGTGATCCAAAAACTCAGGCCAAATCCACAGAATGTAAGGTTTTGAGCTTCTTTTGCATACATTCACATTGCCTCAGCATTTATGTATTTTGTGTTAAGATAGATGGATGGATGGATGGATGGATACTTTATTGATCCCCGTAGGAGAAATTTAGGTGTCCAGTTGCAGCAAAAATCAAAAATAAAATTGATCATTCTAAAAAGTAAAAAATAGTAATAATCAGCAACAGGTCACAGCAGAAGAGGTGGTGTAGCCTCTGGGTGGAGCAGGACGGGTCAGAGCAGCAGAGGTGGAGTAGCCACTGGGTGGAGCAGGACGGGTCAGAGCAGCAGAGGTGGAGTAGCCACTGGGTGGATTAGCACGGGTCGCAGCATCACAGATGAAGTAGCCTCTGGGTGGAGCAGGACAGTTTAAAAGGTGGAGTACCCGCTTGGTTCGGACCATTTTCTCTGCTCTAGTCCAAAGTAAAATACTAAATGCTTCATTAGTATTTTTCAAAAAGTCAGCATTTTAACTTTATCCGCTTGGTTTGGACCATGAATCCTCTCCGCTCCGGTCTGGACCAGTGCAAAACCATGAACACCGTACTGCAGCAACATCCCAGGCAGAAAAAAACAATAAAAATAAAAATTGTAAAACACAAAACAACTGTTTCAGAGCTACTTAGGACTTGCAGCCGTTTCCCAGCGCATTCATAAGTAAACGTAAGCCCAAATATGTAAAGTAACCGTAACCTTAACATGGGCAGATGTGTTGCTAAGATGGATGCTAAGCTGAAGTTTCCCACACAAATAAATTGATCTGTTTGGCCAATCCTTATATGTGGATTCACATATAATACACATATGTGGCTCATATGTGGATTCACAAGACAACATTACAATATAAACTCCAGGAGAGTGCTAAACCCAAAAGGGTGAGTGTGACCCAAACAGTTACTGAGCTAGAGGAGTTTACTTTTACAAGTAAGTCAATAGGAGCCAAACTTTGTCCATGAGCACTTCCTTATTGGTCTTCAGTGAGCTCGTGGGTTAGCATTTTCCATATATATACAGTCTATATTAGCATTGAAAAAAGTTAAATTGCTTCTAGGTTGACTGAAACTTGCGTAACACAATGACCAATCCTAGTGTAAGAGCCTTCGTGATGAAATCAGGCTAATTTTTCACATGCTGCTTGCCCAAAAAATATATTTACATTGAAAATCATTTCAAATTGTAAAAAAATTGTGAAAGTTGGTAACTTTTTCCCATAAATAAGGCATGTTTGCCCCAACAGAAAGAATCTTGTTATAGTAAACTTGTGAAGAAATCAGACCACATCATCCTGTCTTCATCTCATTAGTTTCTTGCATATGTGAGCCCTGTGAGTCACTATTTGACTCTTTGGGCTGAGAGCTGATTGGCCGCGTGATGGTGGTCCTCTCTCTCACACACAAACTGATGTAAAGACGTGACAAAGGCTAAACATACACACCACCAGTGACACAACAAAACTGTTTTGGAAGAGATGAATTTTACGACATAGTTCCATTGTTTGCGGTTGTAAAATTACAACCGCAAACAAGAAGCTTTAATCTTCTTTGCCCATTTGTGGTTAGCTGGAGTGGCGTTGAAGGATTATATGCAAAATGATTCCAAGGAATTTTATTCTTGCAACACCTAAAAGCTCTCCTTTTATGTGCAAAGACTGTGCAAAGCTATCGTGATTTGGAATCTAGAATGGATCTGACTGGCCTTATCTGCGGCCTACAGTATGGAATATTTAAACCCTCAAACTTTTTTAGTTCACCAGATACTTAAGTTGCTTTGACAGGATCGAGCTGTTCTGAGTTTTAATATGAGGTATGATAAGTCTGTATAGATTCACAGTTTGACAGTGTTTACAATCTCACCTCAGCTAAATGCAGGGTCACATTTATACTGCGTGCGCTTTTCTAAATGTAAATGTGCATTTTATTTATCCCCGTAGGGAACTCTGTCAGGACC